TTTTATCTTCTTTCACACTTTTTCTTTTTAAATTTGTGTTAATGCATTTATCTAAGAGAAAAATTGGAGTACCAACTACTTCCTCTATTCCAAAAAATATATATATTTTTAGTTTGTTTTAAATTAATTATTATTTTTTTTATTTTTTAAGATGAAAAAATATTTTCTAATTTAATCATATCATTATCTATTTATTTTGATTAATTATTATATCATAAAAGGTTTGACTTTATCTTTTAGCTTTTTTCTAAGGTAATATAAGTAAATATGTGAATTGTCTTCAAATCTTTAATTTGAAGAAAAAAATAAAAAAATTATAATTCTTTTGAGATAAAAAAAAAAATACACTACGTGCAAGAATTTGTTCTTAATTTAAAATAATTTTTTATTATATGTTTTTTGATATTTACTTCTTGTAATCTTGAGAGGAAAATTTAATAATGAGAATAAATATAAGAAAAAGATAATCACTACTAAAGATTGAATTTAGATATGATCAAATAAAAATTTAAAATTGAAAATAAAAATCAACATAGATTTATGACTCAAATTAGACGTAGGTAGGATTTTACATTTGGTTTATTTTAAAATTAAATTTTAAAAGAAAAAGATTAAAATTTGTTAATAAGTAGAAGAGTTATCCGGACAATAATAAATTTTAGTCTTTTTACAATCCTTTTTCAATCTCCAGACCTTAGTGGAAGTAAAATTTGATAAGTGTTATTGATTGATTTGAATTAAGACCATAAACATTTTATTGTATTTTCATTTTGTTGTGTTTACTTTAAGTTCATAAACATTTAATTGTACCTAAAATTTGTTATTTTTATTGTATTTCTCGTTTTTGCTTTTTAAATGTGCGTTAATGCCTTTATTTAAGAGAAAAATAAGAGTACCAACTATACTAAATTCCAGAATTTTTTCTTAATTTAAAATAATTTTTTATTATATGTTTTTTGATATTTACTCATGCAATAGAAGGAGAAAATTTTAATAATGAGAACAAAAGAAAAAGATAATTACTTGTAGAGGTTGAATTTAGATCCGGTGAGATAATAATTTGAAATTGAAAATGAGAGAATAAATTTATGATTCAAATTAAATTTAAGTAGAATATTAAATTTAGTTTATCTTGAAATTAAATTTTAAAAGAAAAAAAATAAAATTCGTTGGTAAATAGAAAAATTACCTGAACAATCCTTTAATCTTCTCTTTTTAGTGTTTGAATTTTAATTTGTTTTTTGATACTGACCTCATGTTATTTGGTAACTAAATTGAATCTTAACCAATTTAAAATTAAATCGCATTAAACCTCACAAGAAAAAGTTCTCTCAACATTTGTTTCTTTATTAACATCTGTTTCTTTATTCGTAAGACTCAAATTTAAAACTTTATTTAAGAAAAATTTAAGTCGTTAAATTCGGATTAATAATCATTGAATTTTAATATATTTTAAGTCTTAATTGATAATAAAATTTAATAATAATGTAAAATTTTAACTATTTTATAATATGTCAATTAACAACTATTATTGCTGACTATTTCTAGGAGCCAAACCTAATAAAGCTTATACAAATCCTACTTAAAAAAACAAAAATAAAAGTTTAAAATTTAAAATTATGTGTTTTTTAATAAAGACCTTTTTCAATAATTAAAATAACTGATTTCAAATAAGTATTTATGAATATAAGGACACTTAATTTTTAAGAGTTGGGACAAACCGTTAATAATACTTATAAGAAAGTTTTTTAATTTGTGCCTTAAATTTTATTAAATATAATATTTTTAATGAATATAAGGACACTTAATTTTTAAGAGTTGGGACAAACCGTTAATAATACTTATAAGAAAGTTTTTTAATTTGTGCCTTAAACTTTATTAAATATAATATTTTTAATTAATTTTGTGTAAATTTTTATATTAAATTTATGTCTTTTTATAGGTTTTATACAAAGTCAATAAATTCAA